TGCCGGTCTGCCGCCGGGACAGCACGCAGCACGCTGCTCCCGGCCATATGGCCTCCTCCTGCACACCCTGCCTCAATCCCCCATCCCAGCACACCCCAGCAGCGCACTGCCACCGCCACCTCAGGTACTCGAGCACGGCAGGGGAAGCACTGGGTCCCTTTTGCTGCCACGGTCTGGTTTTTATTGCTCCGCAGTTGGCCAAAGCAGCCTCGGGCTGGCCCCGCTGCCTCGCATCCTCCCTGCAGCAGACCCCTTCACACACAGCTGTCACACTGAGCCCTAAGGATGCCCTGCATTGCGATGGCTGTCACTCATCCTTCCTCTCTTGGGTGTGTTTTGCCCTAAATGATTGTGGTTTGAATCAGTGCGTTGCAGGAGGGGTGGTCAGGGGTGAGAGCGGAGGGGATGGAGAGAGGGAGCAGAGCCGGAGATGGCACTGCACTGCTGAGTAGGCTGGGCTGTGCATTACTGCTTCCAGGTGTTTACATGGCTTTCTAATGCTTGAAAAACTGGTAGAAACTTACTGGGAAGAGGAAAGGAGAAAATACTCGGGCTGGACTCAGGATAGCAGCAGGGCCCTGCCGCAGAAGCCCAGCATAGAGGGAGGTTTGATGCTGGGGTGCTCCTGCTCAGCCTGCAGGCTCCAGTGAGGGGGCAGTTTTGGGTTGACGTCCCACTGACTGCACTGAGGCTCAGCTGAGTGTAAACGGGGCTGCAAAGGCTCTGCAGGCATCCCAACACAACCCTCTGACTGCTTCAGCAAAACCCCTGGGCTAGCGAGCTGATGAGTACCAAGTGCCTGCAAAGGGGGAGCGTTTACCAGCACTGTCTCCAAGTTTAATCCTAAATGCAAAGTCCATATGCAGACAGCCTGGGGGTCACAGCTGATGCTCATGGACCTTTGTGCTGTATGTGGAGGCATGGCTGCCCTCTAACAGTGGCAGCTGAGGGAGCTTGGGCTTCCAGCCCAGATCCTGCTTGCCCATACTGTGACATAAATTAAAAATAAGCCCTTGCTTTGAGCTGATTTTCTCCTCATTCCTCTGGATGTCATTTGGATTTGAATCCAGCCGTGTTTGGGAAGCTGGAAGCTCGCAAATCTCAACTTTTGAATGCTAGCAGTTATGATGGTAATGGTAAAGCACATATGCTTCTGTATTGTCTATAAGCCGTTATGAGGCACAGTTGTTCTTTTACAGCCATTTTACAGCCAGAGCATCAAGCACAGGCAGGAGAATAAAACCCTTGTGCACATTGTGGTGGAAATAGGGTGGATGGTGGCTGCTCTGGGCTCAGCCACCTCATCTCTGTGCCTGCCCCAGTGCATTTAACTTTCCCCTGCTTTAGTTTTCCAATGCCAGTAGTCCAAGATCTGCTTTGGTTTCCCTAATCCATTGAGCCTATGATAATGTGAGGAGGGGAGTAGCATCTTATTGCACACTAGGACAGCACTCAATCCCAGGGATCCCTAATCATAGTCCAGGGATCCCTTATCTCAGTCCTAGACAATGGGTCTGAGAAAACTCATAACTTACAAACAAGGTACTGATGGCCAAAGAAATTTCCCTCACACAGAAAAAGGCAAGGGGAGACTCTTCCCTGTCTCTAGCCCTGGCTGGAACAGAACCAGCTTCAGTAGCTAAAGTTTCAGAGAGAAGCAGGTTTCTCTGGAGTATCCTGGGGAATGGTGGGAGGTATGGGGGGATGCACACGCCCCATGTACCCTCAGGGATAGTGGCAGGAGCTCTGCCTCTCCTCTGCCTCCAGGCAGGGGACAGTGTCGCAGCGCATGCTGGAAGCTCTTCCTGACAGCCTTCCTTTGCCTTCAGCTCTTCCTAGATGATGATGTCGGGTGTTAGCTGCTGATTTGCAAGCAGCAAAACCCACTCTGGCAGCACTCCTCAGCACACAAACATGAGGTGCTGGAGCTCTCCTATTGCAGCACAGCCCTTCAAGATGGGGCATACATCCCACAGCAGCACCTTTCCCCTCATTCACCCCTTGGTCCTGAGTCTGGCTCGGTCCTACATGTTAAAAATCACTTTTTTGGGAGGGGAAAGTGTCTCTGATTCCCCGGGTGGGGGGAGGGGGAGCTGGCTGGGTAGCTTTGGGGCTCCAAACACCCACTGCCAGCTTTTCTCGGGAGCTGACTGCACCCCAAATCCTCCCACATTCAGGGAGGCTCCCAGGGTTTTACTTCACACTGATGGTGGTGATGGCTCCCTCCTCCTCCTGCTCCTCGGGCAAGAGCCTGGCAGCTCTGCTAGGCTTGCACCCCCATGATCAGCAGAGATCTGGGTCTGTCGGGCTCTCTGGCTGTGACAGAGAGGATCTTCTCCAGATCACCGTGCCCTGCCAGAAACAATCTGTTTACAGTGTCAGTGCTCGGCGCATCCCTCCCCGCTCGGTGCTGAACCGCCCGAATATCCCATTTCTGCAGGCGCAGAGACTCCCTTCTGTAGTCCGGGTGGCATTGTCACTACAGGGAATATTTCCGTGACATCCTCCAAGGCTGGTGGTCAAAGTCTAACGGAGCTCTTCTCCCAAACCCCTGTCCCTAGAAGTGTCCGAGGATGCTGCAAGCCTGTCCTTTGATTTTTTCTCCGGAGGTCCCCGCTGACCTGAATTTTCCTGCGGGTCCTGCCGCTGTTTTTCCCAGTGATGTGAGGGTGTGGGTGCCGAGCTACAGGATTTCCCTCTCTCAACCCCCTCCCTTTGGGGACGCAGCTAGAGGCTGGGTCACTAGTTTGACAAAGATGAGCTGACGGCTCAGCGGGGCTGCGGGCTGCAGCCCCTGGTGCCAGCAGCGCACGGAGCCAGCCCCGGCCGGCCCTGCGCCGGGGACGTGCCGGGAGGATGCTCCTCCGAGCCGTGCCTTTGCCTTTGGTTTCCTTCGGGCTGATGCACGCAGCTAACGCCTGCGAGCGGCTCTTCCTCCCCCCTTCTCGCTCCCGGAGACCCTTTAAATCGCTGCTTCACACTCAGTAAACACCCTCCCCCCCGCCTTAAAACCGTTCCCTTTCTCCCAGGTCATGCCAGGCAACCATTTTCCAGCAAACTCCCCGATTCTGGCCAGTTTTTCGCTGTGCCCGCTAACAGTCTGTTAAACCCTGCGGCTCTGCTCGCACACACGTCGGGAGCAATCACCCGGTGCTTGGGAAACGATTGCTGGCGTTACCTGGGCAGCCGCAAACTTTGCTTGCACAGCTTCTCTCAAGGCCGATGCTGCTCTCGGCTATTAGTGGTAACGACCCCCATGTCTGCAACTCGCAGACGATGGGGCCTTTCATCAGAGAGCCCTCCGAGATGCAGGGAAAGTGTGGCTTTTCCGCCTCACTAGATTTTTATCTCTTCCAGGAAGCTCTGGAGGATACAAGCTACCTTACCTAATGGATCTCTATTAGGCTGAGGCACTTGGGACCGATGGACACGTCCCGGGCTCCAGCTGCTCTCCTCATCCATGCTTTCAATGTCTTTGACTTTTGCCAGACTCCAGATGGGAAGCAACCGGGGGCCTGCAGGGCTCAGGCTTGGTGAATAGAGAAAGGATATTTTACCCTCTAAATCCATCCCCCAGAAAAACACAGTGTTTCACCCTCGATGGGGCGGGAAGCTTTTTGTGCAAAGCTCCAGCCTGAAATATTGGATTGCTGTGATGCACAGGCAGGTTGATGATCGAGTGTTTCATCCCCTGTAAGACCCTCAGCCTCCCCCTGTGGTGTGGCAGGTAAGGCATGGCTCCTGAGGACAGGCTGGTCCACGGGGCTTCAGTGTTGGCCTGAAGGAGGCATCTGCCAGAGGGAGGTGAGCCTCCCCAACCCGTTTAATCCCACCTCCATCATTAAAATGTCTTTTTGTATCACCACTTGCTTGGGGGCTGGGGTCTCCTGTGCCAGCACGATGCAGCCCAAGGGCAGCCACATCCCCCAGGTCAGAGTACAAACAGGGCAAGACAGAACAACGCATTATTCATCCTCTCTCTCACGGAGCATGGAGGGAATATATGCCCAAGAACACAGTGGTGATGCCAGATTTGCTGACCTTCCCTGCTACAGGATTTCGGTCTGTCTGGAGGTGATGAGACTGCAGCCACAGCTCCCATATGTCACTGCCCCTCACCCCAGCCACCCTGTTACAGGCTGTACAATGTGCTAGTGCTGGGCAAGGGGCCCAACGGCCCCTCAGTTTGCCCCATCCTACTCTTATCGCAATGGCCCCAGAGCAGGAAAAGCAAATCATGCCCTTCTGGGAAGAGGGGCTGGCAGTGAGGATGAATACCACCTTTACGGGTGGCACCAGCCTGGGACCAGAGCAGCGGGTGCACATTCCCCAGAGAGTCCGAACTTCGAAGTCCAAACACAGGGCCAGCCGGTGGCTAGTTGAAAATCATCCCAGCTCTGTGGAGGGTGGCTTTCTAGGGGTGCCCCAGCAGCCACCACTTTGCCCATCCTAAACCCCCTGTCGACAGCTCCCCTTGGGGGATGCTCTGATGTTCACAAGGGACTGGGACTGCTGCTCTCTCCCCTTCGCTAAGTGTCCCCTCGCTGAGGGGCTGCAGAAGGGCACCCCACCGCTCCGGGGGCTTTGTCCCCGCAGCATACACCTCTCCTGTACCACGGAGCTGGTGGGGGTGCCGCGGCGGGGCTCGGTGCTCGGGGGCAGGCGGGCAGCGCGGGGTTGGTGCCACGCGTGTCCGGCCGCCCGCGGCGGCTGCCCGACGGGGAGGGCGGCTGTCCTGCCGCCCGGTGGCGGCGGGGAGCCTGGCAGAGGACTCGGTGAAGGACCTTCTCCGGTTTCCTCGGGAGGCTGTCAGGCGGCGGGGGAGCCGAGCCCCCTGCGCCTCGCTGGCCGCGCCGGCTCCCTCCCCCTCTCCCCCGCACTCCTCCTCCTCCTCCTGCTGCTGCTCCTCCTGCTCCTCCCGCCCTGGTGCGAAGGGCTTTTGCTGCTTTTCCTTTCTCTCTCCTCCGTGTCTCCTCGGCGGAGCGCGGTGCCGGCAGGCGCGGGAGAGGCGCGGGGATGGGGCGGCCGCCGGCGCCCGAGCCGCCCGCCCGCTCCCGCCGCCCGCCGCCGCGTCCCCTCCCCGGCCGGCGGGAGGCGGCGGCTCTCCCATGCCGCCCGCCTCGCCCCCTGCTCTGAATCTCTGCCTGTCGGCCGATCTGGGGACAAACGGGGAAGGGGTACGTCCCCTCGCACTTTTATTTTTCGCCCACTTCTTTTTTTCTACCCTTTTTTGCCTTCCCTCCATTACGCCCCCCTTCTCCCCAGCCCGTTTCTCCTCCATCGGGGCTCTTCGGCGGCCATGCGGCCGGTCCCGGGCGAGCGGCTCTAACTCGTCTCCTCGCCCGGATGGCCCCCCGGAGCCGCGGGCGCATGGAGCCGAGCTACGTCGTGGGTATCTGCTGCCTGGTGCTGCTGGAGCCGGGCCGGGTGTGGAGCGGCGAGCCCAGCACCGGGGGGCCCGGGGAGAACGGGAACAGCAGCCAGGCTCCGCCGCCGGACACCACGGTCCCCGCGCCCACCGGAGCGGCACCACCGGGGGGGGACCGCTGCCGCGGGTACTACGACGTGATGGGGCAGTGGGATCCCCCGTTCAACTGCAACGCCGGCATCTACCAGTACTGCTGCGGGACCTGCGGGTACCGCTTCTGCTGCCAGTTCAAGCCCGGGCGGCTGGACCAGAGTGGCTGCTCCAACTACGACACCCCCAACTGGGTCAACACGGGCCAGCCGCCTGCCCGGGTGGACGAGACCCCCGAGGACCCCACTCGTGACAAGACCAACATGATCGTCTACATCATCTGCGGTGTGGTGGCCATCATGGTGCTGGTGGGCATCTTCACCAAGCTGGGCCTGGAGAAGGCACAGGGTCCCCAGACAGAGATGACCGTCTCCAGGTAAAGGGGTCCAGTCCCCCCATCTTCCCTGTTTCATCTCCCCAAGGGTGGCAGCTCATGTTCCTAGCCGATTGCATAGACTGAGCCTTGGCTTCACCTTGGGACTGCCGAGAGGGTGAGGTGATCCCTAAAATCCCTGTCCAGCATGCTGAAACACCAGGGGGTGGGTTGGCTGGTAGGGAGGGCTGGCAGCCAGGACAGCCTCCACGAGAAGGGGTGGTTGTACACTCATCTCCTCTCAAAATGACCTGCTCTGTCTCTTGAGGAGGCATGTCCCTGGCTCAGGAGTGCCAACCCACCAGGCAGTGGGGTGGGTGACATGTGAGCTATAGGACGTGGCTTTCTCCCCCCAACAAATGTGTGGTTCCCAGTGTCCCAGGAAGGTGAGACCAGGTCTGGGGTGTGGGGTGACTCTGGATTGCAGTCCCCTTGATCTCAGCCTTGCTTGCAGTGCTGGGGAGACGAGGTGGCAATGACAGTTCCACTGCTGTGGCTGCTGCGCCAACTCTGTGTGCATGTGTGCACACACGTGTGTGCCCTGGTGCCTGCTCTGTGCAGTGGCGTGGGACACTGCCCTTGCAGGGGGTGTCCACACTCTTGTACCCCGGGGAGCACACCCTCCAGTGGAAAGTTGGGCAGCTTCTTCCTGGAGTCCATGCCCTGTGGCTCCAACCCCTGCTTTCCAGCCCGTTCCTGGGGCTGAGCACAGGGCTGGCGGGGGGAAGGTCAAGGTGTCAGACACACTTGGGCACTGGAGACCCCCCCCAGCAACTCCTGTGCTGCTGCTGTGGCTGTCGCTGCATCTTCCCCTCTCCCTCCTGCTGCCAGTACATGCTTCTCTCCCTGTTTTGGGGCTCTACTTTGCATCTTCCCGGTGAGGACATCAAGCCTGGAGAGAAACCCATTTTCATGCCATTTTCCATTTTGTTAAGGGATTTTAGCTTTTAAAAAAAGGAAAAGCAGGGCTGGTGGAAATTATTTCATCAGAATTGTCAGGCAACTGTCCTGATTGCAACCCCTATCACCATCACACTCTCCTTCCCCTGGAGCACCCTTTTCCCCCTGGGACATTTGGGACTTATGCTGCACCCCAAATCCAGACCCATCCTACTTCTTGCACCCACCCAGGGATGCAGAGGTTGATCACCCCTGGTTTGATAAGGGTCATACTGAGCCATGGAAGAGGATCACAGGACCCTCCTAAGACACAAGAAGCAGTTTTGGGGGGATCCATGCCATGCCCCCACCTTGGCAGGGAGCCTGGCTGTGTGCTGCTACGTGCCCACGCCTCCCCCCGTGTTGCCTGAGGAAGTGCTGGCACCTTGACAGGATCAATACGGCCTCCGCCAGCCTCCTGATCCCCTTCCACTCGCCTGCCGCCGCGTCTTTTTTTGGTCATCCCCCCCACCTCCTGGGAAGGAGATACTGTGCTCAGGGAGGGGTCAGATCCTGGGACACCCAGACCTGTGTCCTCATCCCCTGCCATTGGGTATTGCCTTCTCCCACCACCATGCTGGTGGGATGCTGGTGGGACTGCTGCCACACACCAGGGGCTGTTTTCTGTGGGTAGCCTCAATTCTGTGCTGCTGGAGCCATGTGTTTCCCCTGGTTCCCCCTGCCCCTCTAAACTCATGCAAGCCTGAATTTTCCCACTGAGTTTGGAGAGATAGGTGCCTGTTCTCCATAAAGCCATAGGTCTTTTGGGCACTAGCATACAGATGGGGAGAAGGTGAGTTTTTCTCATCCGTCTTTGAGGACAAAATCAGAAGGGCACCTCCATCACTGCAGAAGTCAGGAGAAGTCTTGCCCTCTTCTGTGCCCTGTGTCCTTCAGTGCAAGTTGTGAGCAGCTCTGGTTCCTCAGGGATGGTGACTGCAAAGCTGTGGCAGGGCAGGAGTGGTGCATCAGGTGCAGAGCCCCAGGAACCAGGCAAGACACCAGGCTGACATGACTTCCGTGGTGCTGGGCTGATGGAGACAGCGTCAAAGGCTGGGTACACAGCATCAGCATCCTAAAAGGGATACTGCCACCTCCATTCCACTGTGCCTGGGCAGCTGGGGGTATATGCTTCATCTGGATGCCTCTGAGACAGCAGGGCTATTTCTACCTGCCTTGCCACTGTACCCACACATGGTCCAAGGCATGGGCAGTGCCACCTTGCCTCTCTCCTGGCGCCTCAGGTAGGAGCTTCTCATTTGCTCCTTGGGCACCGCATCATGGCCTTGGGCCAGCTCCCTGTTGCACGGTTGTCTTGATTTCCATTCCTGTCCCTCCCTCCTGCCGGGGTTTTTCCGCTCCTGGGGAGCACTTTGTGCTGCGCTGGACAGCTCCCATTGCTGCTGCTTGCAGGTTTCTCACGTGGGGGGTAAGGTCAACCACTTCTGCACCTCCAGATGTTGTTTGTCATGGTTCCAGTCCTGGTCCAAACCCAAGAAGAGTGACCAGGGGCAAAAAGTCCATTAGCTCCTCACTGATGGAGACACCTGAGTCTGTGTCCAGCTTGTCCTGAGACCCCCAACACCTTGGCCATGTCCAGCATGTCTTTGTCTCCTCATGGATTTGGCTGCTGGTCCACCCAGGGAAGTGAGTGCTCAAGTGACTGCAGCTACCTGGTTTGTCCTCCCATCCTCATCCGCCTTCCTCCTGCAGGACCTTATGGCAGCTCCTGCAATCCCCTCTCCTTCCTGCTCGGCTCATGCTTGGCATCTGTCCCCGGCACTCGCTTAGCCTGGCCAAACCCCGCGTTGAGTCAGGAACACCTGCCTGTGTTTTTCTTCAGTCCCCAGATCTCCGAGGACGTTGGGTCCTTGGGGGCCTCCAGGATCTGTCTGTGCCCATTACACTGACAGCAAGCACGTGCCCCAGACCTCACCCAGAAAACCTCCTGGGTGGGAATTGCAAATTTATAGCTGGTGTGAACAACCCTGCGGGAAGAACTGGGCAAGGAGCAGCCTCCTAGGGAGTAGGGGGGATTCTGGAGAGGAGCAAATAGCTCTTAGGAGCAGGTGCCCTGGCAGCTGCAGTGGGTGAGTGCTCAACTCTGCCTTTTCACTCCTTGGGTCTCCCTGTGCTATTTGGGGTCCCCAAATTTGGCCCCACTGCGCCTCCAGCTGTGCTGGGTGTTTCTCTGGCAATGCTCAAGTCCAGGGCCATGCCTGCAGTTGATGTCCATGGTAGCAGGTAGTGGTGAAGACCTAGAAAAGGTGTTTGCAGGCAGCATGGTGTGCTATCACGAGCTGCCCTGGCTCTCTGGGGGATGAAAGAGGATCCAGCTCCAGTAGGGAAGGAGACCTGGAGCTCTGTCCCTAAACTGAACATCATGTTTAGGGATGCTGATTTCCACTTTGCCCAAGCTCCAATACCCACCACTGCAACTCCAGTTTTGCAAAGACACTTTGATAACCCAACTCCTCCAGTGGCTGCCACCTTCTGTGTCCCCACCAAGGGTTCAGCTCACGGCAATGTCACTTCACCCCATCAGTTCATTATCTCTCCTCTCTCCTGGAGGCTGTACTCCTGTCTACCCCCACTGCTCCCTGCCCGTTGCCAGGACTTGCATACTCTCTCCTGCTGGGCTGGCCAGGTATGGGGCTTGGGCCTCCCAAAAGTGAGTCAGGCCCTGGGCTGGGCTGCCGTGCCAGGTCAGCATCTAGCTCCCACACAAGCACATCCCTTGGGGCTGAATCAGGAGCACTGAGTGCTTCATGCATGGCTTCTGCTACTAGGATCTCTTGGCCTCCATCATTATTGCTTCTGGATCTGCCTCTGTGCTTGGTCTCAGGTCTTGCACTAGGCTGGTTTGGGACATCTTTGTTGCACCCTTAAGCAGAACTAGGCTTGCCATGGTGGTGGCTGCATGTCCCCCCCAGATGGTGCTCAGGCAAGCTGGGTGGCAACACACCTGCACACATGGCCTGGTGTTCTCTGCATCCATGGCCAGAGTGTGGATGGAGGCCTCAGTGGTTCCATTCATCAGGAATTTTTGCAAATGAGCAGTGCAGGTCTAAATCTACATCTGCTCTGTATTCCCTTCCTCCATCTGCACTGCAGATCCATCTTGGTGCTGCAGACCACCAGGTGACCTAGGGAGATGTGGCTTGACCTTCCTCAAGCCCCCACCCAAAGGCTCAAAATCCCCAAGGTGATGTTCAGTGAGACAACAGCTCCTCCATAGTGTCACCTCCCATGTCCCCCTTCCCTGCACTGCATCACCTGGGGATGAGCCAGGGAAGGGGTGCAGTCCCTGAGAGCCCTCCTGGCAGCCCTGGCCAGAGGCACTACTCGTGGTGCAAGGGCAGGGTGAATCCAAGTGTGGGGACTCGTGCGTGCTCCTCACCTTAGCAAAACAGCTCATTAATTGCTGCTCGAGCTGTTGTTGTTAATTGTTATTGTCCACATGCCCTAAGCGGTCAGCACGGAGGGCACATTTATGAGAAAGAGCATTGACAGATTTATGTGGAGAGAAATCATAGATAAAGGACTGCTCAAGCTTCATAAATAGACCCGAGGAAAAGAAAAAAATAATTTAAAAAATAGGTCAAATCGCATCGGACTTCCTGTTGAAAGAAGCCTGTTTGAGCGCTGGCCCCAGGGACAGGCAAGAGCCGGCAGCGTCCAGTGGGGAGGGGCTGGAGAGCAGCACACCCCAGGGAAGGTGGGAGTTGACAGGGCGGCAGCTCCCCGAGTTGACAGCCCACACCCATGGCCTCGGGGACCTGCCTCCCCCTGCCCTGCCTAGGCACAGCCCCTGCCTGCCTAGGCTTGTGCCCAGAGATTCTCTGACTGCAGCATCCGTGAACCCGGAACCCTGGGTGGGTTGGCCTGTTGCAGGAAGGCTCCTGGGAAGGTGCAGGTTTTGAATAGCTGCAGGATGGAGAAGCCACAGTCTCCCCAGGGGGCCTGGTCAAACACTTAACTACTCCTGCAGGAAAAACAAAGTTGTTTCTTCTGTTTAAACAGTATTTCCTGTTTCAGTTTGCACCTCTCACCTCTTGTCAGCTTGATGCTGTCCTTGTTGCACCCTCCCTTCAGATACTCACGTACATTGATAAGATCCCCAAAAACCTTCACTTCTCCAGGCTGAACAGTCTCAGCTCTCTCAGCCTCTCCTCATACAAAAGATGCTCCAGTCCCAACTTTGTGTCCCTTTCCTGGACTCTCTCCCGTACATCCATGCTTGTCCTATACTGAGCTGCAGCCAGCACTCCAGAGGTGTGGCCTTTCCAGTGCTGAGCAGAGAGGAAGGATCGCCTTCCTCAGACCTGCTGGCAACACTTTGCCTAATGCAGACCAGGAAACCATTCAGCGCCTTTGTCCCAAGGGCACTCTGCTGGCTCGTGGTCCACCAGGATACCCAGGCCCTTTTCTGCCAAGCTGCCCTGCAGCTGGTCAGCTGCCAGGGTTTGTTCCTCGCTCGTTTCAGTTTCTTCAGCTCTATCAGGGTTCTCTTGGCCCATCTGGAGATTAAGTGATCCCAGAGGGTTTGCTACACAAAGCTTCCCAAGAATGATGTGAAATTAACCCACAGGGTGAGTGACCCTTCCTTGTAGCTTTGCTCTTGCCCCTACCCTGTAATGTTGACTGATTCCAAAATGAGAGGGAAAAGGCTCCCTCAGGTCGCCACAAGCATAAGCATCCCCCAGGTTCAACTCCTTGCCTTCTCCCTTGTTCCCACTGCTTTTCCTGGAAATTCTGAGCATCACGTTCACTAGGTTTTTGAGCACTCTGGTGCCATGAGCTGACACATCTACCAAGTCAGGATTATTCCCCCCTTCCTCTCCAATTTGCATTTATGCATGTTGAGTTTAATCTGCTGTTTTATCGTCCAACCACTCGCTAACCGTCAGCTCACGGTGTGCGTCTGTGAGCCAGCCAGAGCCTTCGAGGCGCAAGGCACGCTGACAGTGAGCTGGGGATTAGCAAGCCAAAAAAAGCCCTGAGTGGACACCCCTGCACTCTTGCAGTCATGCAGGCATGGTCTCTGCAGGGGCAATGGTGTGTCTTCTGATCACAAAGCCCTACGCCAGTAGGAGCATCCCATCCTGTTCTGAGACTCGCTGCCAAAGGCTGCAGTGGCACGTGGCTAGGTCCTGCTCCAGCACTGCCAATGTGCTCCCTCTGTCACTGCTGTTGTACCCTCCTCTGGCACCACCAGCATTGGTGTACCTTGCTCCAGCATTGCTGGCGTGTCCTGCTTTGGCACTGCCAGTGTGCCCTGCTCCAGCACTGCCTGCGTGCTCTGCTCTGGCATTGCCTGTGTGCCCTGCTCTGGCACCAGCAGCATGCCTCGCTCTGGCACTGCCAGCACACTGTGGTGGGACTGCAGAATCTCTGTCCATGAATGTTAAACGAAAGAGGGCTCTATCTTATGTAATGGTGTTTAATGTTTAATGCTGTTACTTACAAGGAGGGTGTTATGCACAGACAGCGCCTGCGCCAGAGGCTGCCACTAGTTTATTTCCTTCCCTGAAGGGACACAAGTGCTTCTCTAATCCCTTCCTTGGGGTCTTCTCTGTTTCGAAGGGACTTGAGTGGAGGTGTTTCTTCCTCTCCCCTGTTCCACCAGGCTCTTGCTCCAGGGCAGCATCCCAAAGGTGTTGCTCCAGCTTCCATCAGATCAGTTTGCTCTGCCCCAGTTCATCGTACCCTTGCAGCCTGCTGCAAGCCATGCATCTTCCTCACCACTCTCACGGCTCTTCCTCACTCTCCCGGCTCCGGGAGGGCTCAGCCCCAGCCAGATCCCAATTAGCTGTTGGACTTGTTAGCCCGGGCTGCAGAAGCCTGGGGGCACTCTGGGGGCACTGCTCCCAGCTGCTCTTTCCTAGCCCCAGGCTGCCTAGCTCTGCCTTCAGAGTGAAGTTCAGCGCTGGGATGAATTAGGGGTCCCAGGGGAGCAGGATATTGTTCTAACAGCCCTTCACCCCCTCTCCAGGACACTGACAGATCTGCTGAAGCAGCCAGGCCACAGCCCCTCTGAGAACATGGACAGCCTCATGGGGGGTGTGCAGGTCCCGCTGAGTGAAGGGCTGGCCCGAGGGCCCCCCAGAAACAGCACAGGTAAGGCACTGGTGTGGTGGGGAAAAATAAGTTCCTTTGAGTGAATAAAGGCAGTGGGAGGGCACAGTCTATGGCTGAGCCCCCTCCCGTCTCTGCCCCTCCAGACAAGCCACCCTTGAACAACGCAGTGGCCATTGCCCCCTCACTGGGGCGGCCCCACAGCCATGGCAAGCGCCTGCCGCTGGCCAGCAGCCTGGCCCTGTCAGCCCCGGACTACACTTCCTACACCACCCTCAAGGTTGGAGGTGAGTGCCACTGCCGTGGGAGGTGGGATGGTGGCTGGGGGCGTGCACCCTGTTGACCCCAGAAAGTAAGTGAGGAAAGGCACGGGGCTCACAAAGGGGCACAGGCAGGACAAGCATCCCAGTTTCCCAATGCTCCTGGGGTGGCTGCTCACAGCAGAAACTCTGCAGCTCCTCCACCACTCCAGCAGCCAGCTGTGCTGCCCAGCCAGTCAGTGCCCAGGGTGCCCCCACAGACCCACTGCGCTTCCCAGTCAACCAGCACCCAGCACCCCACACCGAGCTGAAGCACTGCCCACCCCATCAGGGTTCAGCATCCACATGGACACTCTGCACTGCCCCACAGTCCCGGTTCCCCGGCATCTCCCAACAGCACGCCCAGCCAGTTCATTGCCAGTATCCCCCCCCAGCACCCGGCATCCCTCCTACAGCCCCATCCCAGCCTTCTTCACCACTGCACCCTCCCTAGTCCCCCCGTGCCAGCAGAAGGGAGTGTCCCTGCAGGGGTGACACCGCACGCCTGTCCCCACAGAGAGCGCCACCGAGGACTTCTACAGGCGGTTCGGGGGGCTGGAGCCATCCCCCGCCAGCACACTGCCCTTCCCAGCCGAGGCCCCGGTGCTGGCCGAGGGCTGTCCCCTGCCCAAGGCCAAGGGCCCCAAGGTGTCGGGGGGTCTGGCCTTCCCGGGGGGCTGGGAGGGGGGCCCCCACCGCGGCCCCCGCCGGCCGGGCCTGGCCACGCTGCGCCCTGAGGGGCCACCCGAGGCCTTCGGCCCCTCCGCCTCGCTGTACGGGCAGCACTCCCGGCACCTCGCCACCAACAGCAAGACCGAGGTCACCGTGTGACGGCCAGTGCCACCGGGGCCCGGGGCTGCCCCTCACGCGGGAGCTGCTGCCATCGGGGCAGCCCAGCGCAGGAGAGCAGCACAGGACTCACCCAAACGGCGAGGCCGGCCACAGCGGCAGTCCCTCCTGGGCCAGGCATGCGGACTGCCAGCCGCGCTTCACCATCGAGGAGGCACCGCCGACTCATCCGGACAAGTTTCAGGAGCTCTCAGCCCCCGTCCGGAAGAGGCTGAGCCGGGGGCACACTGGCCGTGCCCTGCTCAGGGGATGGGGGCCAGTGCTGGGCAGACTGGGAACAGATCCCGCTGGGGCCAGGCAGCCCCACCTGGCTCCTCTGAGAGGTGCGGGCAAGAACGATTGACTCAAAGCACCGCCCCCACGCTGCCTGCACAGCCCGAGCAGCCCCTTGCCCTCCCCAGCCTCCTCCCTTCCCCACTGCCCCAGCCTCCACCTTGTCAATAAATAACACATTAAACTGTACGGCCTTGGCATGAATTGGCTGGCGAACTTCACACTGCTCACAAAACCTTCCCCCGGGGCAGCAGGGCGCAAAGCCCACTGCCCCACAGGGCCTGGGGAACCCCTCGCGATGGGGCACGTGGTGGGAACACAGCTTACAGGGACAACTGCAAAACCCTTCAAGCAGCTGCACAAAACTCAGATCTTCTCTGCCTGAAGTTTAATGGTTCTGACAGAGTTTTACCAGGGGGAGCAGAGAAACAAAGAGATGGAGCGAAAGGACATTGTTCTAAAGCAAGGTCAGGTAACAGCCTTCCTCCCCTAGACAAGCTCCTAAAATTGCAGGCTTCTGGCCCAGCTCCACCTTGCCTTGGCTCTGCTTGAGCTATCATCCTCTTGAGCTGCTTCCAGAGGAGCATGGAGACACCACACTTGCTCCTCCAAGGGACTTTCACTGCAAACAGTACAGTTCTGTTCTCTAGGTCATCCGGACAGAGGACTGACAGCTTCACGAGGCGCCTGTGAGCTTTTATGTCTCTAAAGGACTTTTCAAGCTCACCTCTGCTTAAGAGCAGCTGCTGGGTGGGATGAATAGAGCTAAGAGAAAGAGGGCAGGTGGGAGGTGGTGGTAACATTCATCTTTATTAGGTAACAGATGCTCAGAAGCCCTGGAACAGGGTTTTCAGACAGCAGATATGTTCCCTGGGGAACTTCCCCACCACCAGTTGCATCTCATATCACAAAGCATCCCTACTCTGAACTCCATGTGGATAAATAGACTTTCTTCACATAATCCATAAAACAATTTCCTCCCACCCACAAACCAAAAAGTTACAGTATATACACACACATATAAAAAAAAGTTGTAGGGACAGATGGACAGCAATTTTTTGAACAGTGTAGAAAAAAAACAGGGCAAAGATCCCTCACTCTGGAGGGGGCAGAGACATACCAGCCATACTAGGACCCTTGGTACTTCATGCTATTCACTACCTGGGTTTCAGCCCAACAGCTTCTCCCAGCTCCTGGCCCAGCCAGTACTCCCTGCGGCCCAGCCCCCAGGGCTCAGACTACCATTAGTGACAAAGTGACACCTCAGCATCACTGTTTCCCAAAGCCTTACCTCCCATTTTACTAAAGCACAGAACTGCCCACATGCTGCACACGCAGACCTGGAGAAATGCAAGGTAACTTAGAGGCTGCCACAGGCAAGGAGTTTCTGTATTTTAGGAAAAAAACTCCTTGACAAGGAAAACAGCCACAGCTGAGAGCCACAGAAGAGGAAAAAAATCAGGAAGAGGCAATCTACTGCCCCCAAACAGGATCACTGGTAAGCTCCTGGACTTGGCAATGAGGAATCAAAATGTGTACAAATCAAGAGCTGTTCTGCACACTTAGGGTACCTGCTCAAAGCTGAAGTTGCTGTCACCAGAGCGTCCCCTACACTGATCAGACACTCTTGAGAGCAACCTCTTCCCCTCCAACAATGAGCTCCCCCTCCAACCACCAACTCCAGGAAGCAAGGGACACCCCAGCCAGCAGGACAGTACCAGCTATTGCAGCTGGGTGTCCACCAGCTATTCCCCAAATGAAGTGGGGGAGGTAGGCAAACACCTTCTGGTCCCCATGCTTTCATCCACAGCTACAGACCACAATCACTGGGAACAGGCTTTGCTGGGAGACAGGCTTCTCCTGGCCCCAGTTTCCATCTCCTTGAAGCTGGGCAACTCCAAGACTAGCATTACCTGTGTTCAATCACTGCAGCACGTGAAATGGCCCTCCCAGATGCCAAAGGGATCCTGTGCAAAGGGAAACCACAAGCCCCTAACTTTCTCCTCTCATTCTGAAGCAGCTCATGCCTCTCTGCAAGAGCTGGATACATGTAAAAGCTTCTTGCAAAACAGTCCAAGTTTGCAGGAGCTGGGCAGTACAGGCCTGATTGGGACAGGATGGGTTTGGATGGCTGCCTGTATCTAAATGCTTTGAGCTGCCAACATGGAGAACACGCCGGCCGTACACACGGAGGAACAGCAATGCCCACTTGCCAAATGCTGGTTTCCACATATGCACATGAGAGAGGGCAACCACTCTGCACTTCTTTGGAGAGATGCAACAGGAAAGGCAGAGAGAAAGAGGGCAAACCGTTCTCTCCCTGTCCCAAATCCACCTCCCACTCCTGGAAAGTCACAGGCAATTCAACACCTGCAACTCAAACTGCTTGGAATAGCAACGGTAACAAAGCCGGGAGACTTGCACCCCCATACCAGTGCCTCCCAAATCCTGCAAGAGCTGTGGAGCAGTTAGAGAAGGTAAAGAGAAACACCTGAAGACAAGTTCTGGGACTGAGAGTTGAGTGACATAAAAAAAACTGTTTCTAAAAATTGTTTCTGCATCAACAAAAAGGCACCAGAGAAGCATTCACCCTTCATGCCAAGTGCAGGGCACAGCATATCCACCTCTGCTGCCACCCAGCACCAGATGACCAGGGATGCCAAGGTCTTTTATCAGGCTCTGCTTGTTGCATTTTGCCACAAACCCACCCCCTGCTGAAAACTGGAGGCAGCTATCACAGGAAAAGATGCATGAAGCAGAAGGGAAGGGAAATCTGCTGCATTGTTCCCCATGTTTTTGTAAAGCCACAAACATTCCTATAAAAAAACCTGTATAAAAACCGTAGAGAAATTTTCCAGGCAGTACTGGCCCCAAGCAATAATCCCAGAGCACCTAGGTAAGTTGGGTCTAGGGGGCTTCAGTTTCCTGACACACAACTCAAGGAAAGCTGGTGCCTTTCCCTCTCTTTTGGGAACAGCCTTAGGCCCCAGCAGCCCCATGGGACAAGGCCTGAACAGATCTTCTGCCCTCACCAGAGATTTCCTTTCTGCAGAGGTGTTTGGAAAGGGAACAAAATACCCCTGAGGACAGACACGGGATGTGCCACTTCTCTATGCCGTGGGCTTGTGGGCTTCTCTCCCAAGCAGGGACAGGTGATTTGTGTCGGGGCAGCGCTTCTCAACAGCCCCAGGCATAGTGACAGAAACCACAACTAGACAGATTCCTGCTGCAGTGCCTGAGAACAAGCAAGGAAGCTAGTAAAGCTAAACCTGGGGCAAGTTTACAAAAAAATTCAAACCCAAAACCCTCCCTCCCTCTCCCACCCCCATCCTGATCCCACCAGCACAGCCCTAACCTAGCACTTTTTCTAAGCTCCAGAAGGGAAGTCCAGGCTGATGCTCAACCAGGCTGTCTTTGCACAAAGGGAAGCCATGCCGGCGTTAGGAGGCAGCGATGGCCGTGCCCCCGCTGAGCTTGACAATCATCTGCTGGCAGTCGTTGCAGGAGCGCTTGTCCCCCACCTTCTCCAGGGTGCGGGCAGCCTCGGCCAGCAGCACCGCTCGCTGGCCTGGCGAGGACAGGAAGGACAGGGGCAGATGGCGGCAGGCCAACAGGATGGCTGTGGCTCGCTCCCTTTGGCCAGGCAACGTGTCCAGTTCACCTACAGGCAAACAGTGAAGAGAGAACGCTCGTAACAGAGCCACCACCTGCGTGAGAACACCCCAGCACACAGGCCCTCAACTGCCACCACCGGGAACAGGCTGCTCTGGCTGGCAGCCCCTGGCTGAGCCAGCAGCACGGGGCACCTTGAGGGCCTTCAGGCTGGCAGAGGAGAACACTCTGAGCTAGAGTCAGCTAGGAACTGTCAGTCCTGTCTTCTACAGAGGCAGTTCCTTTCAGCTCATTTCCTAGGGCTCATCCCAACATGCATGCTTCCCATTCCCTTATATCCTTCATCTTTTGGCTCTTCCCTTTAGAATTCCCAGCTTCTGCCTTTGCACTGACTGCTCCAAACCCCAGACTGCCAAGTTTCGTGCACTTGTAGCTTCATGAAGGCAAATGGTTTCCAGTCTGTTGGCTGACAGCTCCAGCCCAGGGCTCGCAGCTCTCGTTAGCTGGCTTGTAGAGAACATGGCAGAAGCATTGCCTTGAGCCACAGGCTGATGGCAGCTCATTATCCTGACACAGCAGAAAACACTGCAGGTTGTATCTATGTCCCCACACCTTGCCCAAGCAGTGTCCCCTCCCAGTCCCCCTTGCAGTGGGGTGCTGCCTGGGCCCCAGGGCTGACCTTGTTTGCTGCTCTGGGGCGTGCGCCGCCTCAGGCTGTGCTCCAGCAGCTGGTGCGTGCGGGTAGGGCTGGCCCCTGCCATCAGGCGCACGGTGGCCTCGTGGAGGAAGACCTGGAAGGGAAGGCAGGATGGAAGATGAGAGGTGGGCTGTCACAGGGACAATGCTGTGGCTGAACTGTCATCCCTCAGCCACCACATTTCAAGAGCAGAGCACTGACACCTTGACAAAAACAGAGACCCATTTCCACGCTCCTCCCTCATCTTTCCACCTGTCTCTGGGGAATTTGCAGGTCAGGGCAACCATGAGGAAGGGGAAAAAAAGTTGATACCTAACTGTGAATGGCCTGGAAAGGGGAAGTATTGAGAGCAGGGAACAGGGTAGAAAAATCTGAGAGCAAAATTTGGTACTGTGGTCCAGGCAGGATTCTCAATCTATGCTGCTAGTGCAGTGCTTTGGTAACAACATCAAACTTTGAAATCCAGAGTTTGGACAACACCAGGACAATTCTTGTGTCCAAGTATTAGAATCTACTTTCTCTACAGAGGCCTAAAACTGGATAAACTGAAGAGAAGTGGGGAAATAGCAAGAAAAGCACCTGGGGCTCTGCAGATGCAGAAGGCATTTGACTCTCCAGCTACTCAGCAGAGCCAACATGGCTGAGGAAGCTTCCCTCCACACTCCCCAGAGGGACAGACCCAGTCTTAATAGACAGGATGCCATGGTATTTGGCAATACACGTGTGCTGATGGTTTTCTATGCAGAAACTAAAGTGAATACTTTCCCACACACCCTGAACTCCCACGAGAGCCTCCCTCATCACCCACCAACAGAAAGTAGAGGCTGGTAGTGGAAGAGCATCCCACCCTAAGTAACCAAACCACGCAAGCTCAGATACACCCCGTTTCCAAGGGCACCAGCTTCCCACGCCCCCAGGAAGGGTCGCAGACAAGCGGAGGCGGAGCAGGCAGGAGAGGCAGCCATCACCTTGCGGTAGGCGGGTCTGAAGCTGTGGGCCAGCTTGCGCAGGCTGCCCAGGTCGCGCTGGAAGCCCGTCAGCTCGGGCGCCGAGGCGTGGTAGGTCTCACCCAGCACCTGGCTGGCGTTGGCCTGCTTCTGCCACAGGCTGGTGCGCAGGGACAGCAGCAGGTCACAGGCCAGCAGCTGGATCATCTGCAAGAGCCAAGATGGCCGGGCACACACTTTTAGTAACACTGCATTGGGTGAGTAACAAGCTGCACGGCTGCTGACACAGCTGTGGGAAGGCAACCACAGCACCTCCGAACCTCCTGCCCGCCTGGGGGGCTCCCCTGCCCTCCCTGCAATGCACCGGCCTTTGCATTTTGCCCAAGTGGCATCTCTCGACCAAGACAAGGAAACGTGCCAAGGGCACATTGTGTCAATGTTACATGCCCTTGACTGCACCTTTCACTGGGATCAGTGCTAACAAATACAAACTGATCCCACAGAAACACAGCCTCCTGCAGAGGCTTTCCTGCCCAAAAAGTGATGCTAACTAGTGGGAAACAGCAAAGACAACCGTGCCACCTGCAGAGAAAAAAGAGGCAGTCTCGGCACAGCCGACAGTGGCTGCCAAACCCTTTTCCCCATCTGCTGCTGCCCCCTAGCACCGCTCCCGGCTCGGGGAGGGCTCTCTGCCTGTGCTGCTGAACGGAGAGTGCCTCTGTACTGCACTGCAGAAACATTGCACAGTCACTGCCACAACATGCAATGCAACTACAATGCACCACAGCTGCCACCCAGCAACGACGAAAGGGACCAGAACCACGTCCCATATGCCATGGAGGGAAGCTCCAGTTTTACATAATCCTGGAAAGAAGAAAAACAAGCCCCACACAAACTCAGGAGTAGCACAGCACAGTCACACTTCTGTGTCAGAGGACTCAAACATTCATGAGTGTGGTCTGAAACAAGCAGACTTGACTTGGTGATGTCCTGTTTTACAGGAATCACCAACTTGACCTGGAGGAGAGAGATAAGATACTTTCCATATCTGCAGGGCCAAATTCAAACTGGTCAAAGCCCCAGAAAGGGGTGACAGCCGTTTTACAGGATTCACCAACTTGACCTAGAGGAGAGAGATAAGATACTTTCCATACTGCAGAGCCAAATTCAAACTGGTCAAAGCCCCAGAAAGGGGTGACAGCTACTGGCACAAGAGGAGCAAGAGCTCACACCATGCCCAGGGACATGACATTGTACCTAGGGCTCTGCTCCCCCATGCAGCAGAAACAGAACAATGGCAATGCCCTTTTCAAGGAGAAGGGAAGAAGCCTCCCCTCTAATCCCATGATACACAGAGTAAATGCAGAACGCAGCTACAACAGAGAAGTGACACACCTGCAGCAAGACCAACCTTACAACCAAGGCAGACCATGTGTAATCCCAGGGATTACAATGCTTACATTGTTGAGGACAGTGCTGGACGTGCTACTGCTCATGTTGAGGCTGTTCCACAAGTGACTGCTGGCCCTTTCACAGTGACCCAGGGAGCTCTGCTGTCCATCTGCCTTCCCAGACAGAGAGGCCTGCATAGCTTTACACATGTAGAAGGTAGCTTTCACCAGGGCATTCCTGAAAGAGAAAGTAGGTTGCTTTCAAGCAATACCATGTCATGTTGCTACCACATCAGCTTTCACTCTCCCACCTTCAAGAGATATCATCACTCCTTAGACAGAAAAAAGATGGCAATTGTTCCTCACCTACACAGACAGAACAGAAAAATGAGAGAAAGCTGGCAAAGATTCTTTAGTGCAAAAGAACAGAGAGGGTGACACCATCCTTTCCATCATCACGTGAGTTTTGGTTGATTTTAGAAGGTGGGAGACTGTGCAATTAGAACAAAGCCAAAAGACATCCCTGAAGAAGCAACTATGACTGTGAATTCCAGTCCACAGCTTTACTACCAGTCTGCAAGGCTTGACATACACATGAACTACTGAGCACACTGGCACTCGCAGAGCACAGGAGACATGCAGCTCCAGAGCACAGGTAGGTGTGACCCCACAGGACAGCAACAGGGGAAGGAGTCACCCCTGTTTAGCAGGAGCAGCAGTTTGAAAAGTGTACGAGGCCTACGCACTCTGACATCTCCAGGGACTTGGGCATGCGCTCCACTTCTGCAAAATGTGACCTCACAGCTGCATCGTCCCCTCTGAGCCAGGCGACCGCCATGGCCACGGCTGCTGACCACCACCGGCACACCACGTCGGGACCTGCAAAACAGGAGAGCACACCTGGCTGCCTCACACCTGGGCAAGGGACAGCTAGCACAGGCCCTCGCCTGTGCCTCCTGCTGGGATTGATGCTAATGAGCCCCAACTGATCCCACGGGAACTCAGCCACCCGTGTGAATGCTGAAATGTGCTGCAAGAACACAAAGGAACTTGGCAGCATGCGAATACCCTACATCTGACTGCAAGCAGAGTTTGGGATGGCATGTTTGTATCCTGTCAACAAGAATGTATCCCACCATCTTGTCTAGAAATTTGTTGACTTCCTTTCTGACAATCATCTCCACTCAGCACCACAAAATAACAATTCCACTCATATATACACTCATGATTGGCACTGATAACTACTAAGACAGTACACTGGGCTCCCTATAGAATTGCCTTCATTATTTAACACCCCCTCAAAAACTTCCCAAAGTCTGCTTAGGGCAAAAGGACATATGTTCTGCTACTCTAACCTGCTTTTCAATTCTATGGCAATACTGGCCCAAGCAGATACTTCCCTTTAAAAAAAATAATTATTTCATTTTCCTACTATGTTTGCTCTATACATTTTAGGTACAGCAGTTAGTCTGTGTCTAAAGCTGCACCAGCATCCTAGCGAGCTGTCTGTACCAACTCCAAGCTAAACAAATACTGCAGCAGCCTGTTACCAACACAGCCCAGATGAGTGCATGGTTCAGAGGGATTCTGCAGCCATTGCTATCCCATAAATATACACTAAGGGACCAAAGCAAGC